AAACTCTGAGTCTGTCCCTTCCCGCCCCTCCCCTCTGGCAACCACAAGTTTGTATTCTATGTCTGAGTCTGTTTCTGTTTTGTATTTATGTTCTTTTTCTTTTTCTCTTTTCTTTCTGTCTCTTTTTTTTTTTTAGGTTCCACATATGAGCGATCTCATATGATATTTTTCTTTCTCTTTCTGGCTTACTTCACTTAGAATGACATTCTCCAGGGACATCCATGTTGCTGCAAATGGCATAATGTTGTCAGTTTTTATGGCTGAATAGTATTCCATTGTATAAATATACCACAGCTTCTTTATCCAGTCATCTGTTGATGGACATTTAGGCTGTTTCCATGTCTTGGCTATTGTAAATAGTGCTGCTATGAATATTGGGGTCTACGTGTCATACTGAAGCAGGGTTCCTTCTGGATATATGCCCAGGAGCAGGATTACTGGGTCATATGGTAAGTCTATTCCTAGTCTTTTGAGGAATCTCCATACTATTTTCCACAGTGGCTGCACCAAACTGCATTCCCACCAGCAGTGTAGGAGGGTTTCCTTTTTTCCACAGCCTCTCCAACATTTGTCATTTGTGGGCTTTTGAATGATGGCCATTCTGACTGGTGTGAGGTGATACTTCATTGTAGTTTTGATTTGCATTTCTCTGATAATTAGTGATATTGAGCATTTTTTCATGTGCCTATTGATCATTTGTATTTCTTCTTTGGAGAATTGCTTGTTTAGGTCTTCTGCCCATTTTTTGGATTGGGTTGTTTGTTTTTTCTTATTAAGTCGTATGAGCTTCTTATACATCCTGGAGATCAAGCCTTTGTTGGTTTCATTTGCAAAAATTTTCTATTCCATAGGTTGCCGTTTTGTTTTACTTATGGCTTCCTTTGCTGTGCAGAAGCTTGTAATTTTTAGGTCCCATTTGTTATTCTTGGTTTCATTTCTATTGCTTGAGTAGACTGCCCTAGGAGAACATTTTTGAGATGTATGTCAGATAATGTTTTGCCTATATTTTCTTCTAGGAGGTTTATTGTATCTTGTCTTATGTTTAAGTCTTTGATTCATTTTGAGTTTATTTTTGTGTATGGTGTAAGGGAGTGTTTTAGCTTCGTTGCTTCACATGCTGCTGTCCAGTTTTCCCAACACCATTTGCTGAAGAGACTGTCTTTATTCTATTGTATGTTCTTGCCTCCTTTGTCGAAGATTGGTTGACCAAAAGTTTGTGGGTTCATTTCTGGGCTGCCTATTCTGTTCCATTGGTCCATACGTCTGTTTTTTGTACCAATAGGATGCTGCTTGATTACTGTAGCTCTGTAGTATTGTCTGAAGTCTGGGAGGGTTATTCCTCCAGCCTCTTTCTTTTTTCTTCAGTAATGCTTTGGCAATTCTGGGTCTTTTGTGATTCCAAATAAATTTTATTATGATTTGTTCTAGTTCTGTGAAATATGTCCTGAGTAATTTGATAGGGATTGCACTAAATATGTAGATTGCCTTGGGCAGTATGACCATTTTAACAATATTGATTCTTCCAGTCCAAGAGCATGGGGTAGCTTTCCATTTTTTAAAGTCTTCTTTAATTTCCTTAATCAATGTTTTATAGTTCTCTGTGTATAAGTCTTTCACCTCCTTGGTTAGATTTATTCCTAGGTATTTTATTACTTTGGGTGCTATTTTAAAGGGGCTTGATTCTTTACGTTCTTTTCCTGTTGATTCATTAGTGTAAAGAAATGCAAATGATTTTTGTACGTTAATCTTGTAACCTGCTACCTTACTGAATTCTTCGATTAGTTCTAGTAGTTTTTGTGTGGACCTTTTAGGGTTTTCTATGTATACTATCATGTCATCTGCATATAGTGACACTTTTACCTCTTCTTTTCCAATTTGGATCCCTTTTATTTCTCTCTCTTGCCTGATTGTTGTGGACTTCGAAGACTATGTTGAATAGGAGTGTTGATAGTGGGCATCCTTGTCTTGTCCCAGATTTTATTGGGAAGGTTTTGAGTTTTTCACCATTGAGTACTATGCTGACTGTAGGTTTGTCATATATAGCTTTTATTACGTTGAGATATGTTCCCTCTATACTCACTTTGGTGAGAGTTTCTATCATAAATAGGTGTTGAATTTTATCAGATGCTTTTTCTGCACCTATTGAGATGATCATGTGGTTTTTGTCCTTTCTTTTGTTGATGTGATGTATTACATTGATTGATTTGTGTATGTTGAACCGTTCTTGTGTCCCTGGGATGAACCCTGCTTGATCGTGGTGTATAATCTTTTTTATGTTCTTTTGGATTCTGTTTGCTAATATTTTGGTAAGGATTTTTGCACCTATGTTCATCAGTGATATTGTTCTGTAATTCTCTTTTTTGGTAGTGTCTTTGCCTGGTTTTGGTATCAGGGTAATGGTGGCTTCATAGAATGAGTTTAGTAGTATTTCCTCCTTTTCAATCTTCTGGAAGAGTTTGAGAAGGACCAGTATGAGTTCTTCTTTGTATGTTTAGTAGAATTCCCCAGTGAAGTCATCCGGTCCTGGACTTTTATTTGTAGGGAGGTTTTTTATTGCTAATTCGGTTTCATTTCTAGTGATCAGTTTGTTCAAGTGGTCATTTTCTTCTTGATTCAGTCTTGGTGGACTGTATGTTTCCAGAAACTTGTCCATCTCCTCTAGGTTATCCATTTTGTTTCCATATAGTTGTTCATAATATTCTCTTATGATATTCTGTATTTCTATGTTACTGGTTTTAATTTCTCCATTTTCCTTTCTTTTGCTTATTTGTGTACTCTCTTTTCTTTGTGAGCTTGGCCAGAGGTTTGTCAATTTTATTTACTCTTTCAAAAAACCAGATTGATTTTTTTCTATGGTTTTTTAAATCTCTATTTTATTTATTTCCTCCCTGATCTTTATTATTTCCTTTCTTCTGCTGACTTTTTTTTTTTTTTGGCTCTTCTAATTCTTTTAGCTGGTAGGTTAGATTGTTTATTTGAGATTGTTCTTTTTTGAGGAAGGCCTGTATAGCTATAAACCTCCCTCTTAGCACTGCCTTTGCTGTGTCCCATAAATTTTGTATGGTTGTATTTTCATTGTCATTTGTCTCAAAGTAGTTTTTAATTTCAACTTTGATTTTATCATTGACCCATTGGTTTTTTTCAGTAGCATATTGTTTAATCTCCATGTTGTCACTTTTTTTCTCCTTTGTTTTTCTGTAGTTTATTTCTAGTTTTATGGCATTGTGGTCAGGAAAGATGCTTGAGATAATTACTATCTTCTTAATTTTGCCCATTTTTAAACTGAGATGTTTATTTTCTTCTACTGAATTTTGATAGCTCTTTATGTAGTTGATCTTTGGTCAAATAAAGATTTGCAAATATTATCTTCCACTCTGGTTTGTCTTTCTACTCTGTCAACAGTGTCTTTTAAAGAATAGGTGTTGTTAATTTTTTTAAAAATGCATATATGCTTTTGAAGTATAGTCAGTTTACAATGTTGTCAGTTTCTGATGTATAGCACAATGCTTGAGTCATACATGAACAAACATATATTCATTTTCATATTATTTTTCACATAACTTACAAGATATTGAATATAGTTCCATGTGCTATACAGTGTAAACTTGTTATCTATTTTATATATAGAAGTTAGTATCCACAGATCTTGAACACCAAATTTATTCCTTCCTACTCCCTTCCACCCCTGGTAACCATAAGTTTGTTTTCTATGTCTGTGAGTCCTTTTCTGTTTTGTAGATGAGTTCATATTGTCCTTTTTTTCTTTGTCTTTTTCTTTTTAAGATTTCACATATGAGTGATATTATATTGTATTTTTCTTTCTCTTTAGAATGACTTAGAATGACAATCTCTTGGTCCATCCATGTTGCTGCAAATGGCATTATTTTATTCTTTTTTTCTGTGTGAGTAGTATCCCATTGTATAAATTTACCAGAGCTTCTTTATCCAACCATCTGTCGATAGACCTTCAGGTTACTTCCATGTCTTGGCTATTGTATATAGTGCTGCCATGAATATTGGGGTGCATGTATCTTTTTGAATTTGAGTTCACTCTGGATATATGCCCAGGAGTGGGAATGCTGGATCATATGTCAGTCTATTTTTAGCTTTTTGAGGTATCTCCATACTGTTTTCCATAATGGCTACAGCAAACTACATTCCCACCAATAGTGTATAGGGGGAGCTTCCATTTCCTGCACAGCCAGTCCAGCATGTATTATTTGTGGATTTTGAATGACAGCCATTCTGACTGGTGTGAGGGGGTACCTCACTGTAGTTTTGATTTGCATGTCTCTGATAATTAGCGACATCGAGCATGTTTTCATGTGCCTGTTGGCCATTTGTATGTCTTCATTAGAGAACTGCTTGTTTGGGTCTTCTACCCATTTTTGGATTGGGTTGTTTGTATTTTTCTTATTAAGTTGTATGAGCTGTTTATATATTCAGAGAGAGTAAGCCCTTGTCTGTCTCACCATTTGCAAATATTTTCTCCCATTCTGCAGGTTGTCTTTTTGGTTTGCTTATGGTTTCTTTTGCTTATCAGTTTAATTAGGTCCCATTTGTTTAAGTTTGCTTTTCTTTCTACTACCTGAGTAGACTGCCCTAGGAGAACAGTGCTAAGATTTATGCCAGCTGTTGTTTTTGCCTTTGTTTTCTTCTAAAAGGTTTATAGTGTCCTGTCTTATGTGTAAGTCTTTAAGCCATTTTGAGTTTATTTTTGTGTATGGTGTGAGGGAGTATTGGACTTTTATCAGTTTCCATGCAGCCACCCAGTTTTCCCAACCCCATTTGCTGAAGGGACTGTCTTTACTCCATTGTATATTTTTGCCTCCTTTGTCAAAGATTAATTGACCAACAATCTGTGGGTTTATTTCTGGGCTCTCTATTCTGTTCCATAGATCCATATGTCTGTTTTTGTATTAATACCCTGCTGTTTTGATTATTCTAGCTCTGTAGTATTGCCTGAAGTCTGGGAGGGTTATTCCTCCAGCTTCATTGTTTTTCTTCAGTATTGCTTTGGCAATTCGGGGTCTTTTGTGATTCCATATAAATTTTAAGATCATTTGTTCTAGTTCTGTGACAGATGTCCTGGGTAATTTGTTTTTATTTAGACTTATTCATGTATTTATTTTACATTATGATAGTTTTAAAATTGAAGTATAGGTGATGGGTCAGTATTATGGGTTATAGGTATACAGTTTAGTAATTCACAATTTTGAAAGGTTATGCTCCATTTCCAGTTATTATAAATGATTGGCTAGATTCCCCATATTGCACAGTACCTCCTTGCAGCTTTGTTTACACCTAATAGTTTGTACCTCTTATCCTCCACCTCCATCTTGCCCCTCCCCCTTCCCTCTCCCCACTGGTAAACACTGATTCCTTCTCTACAACTGTGAGTCTGTTTCTTTTCTGTTATATGCACCAGTTTCTTGTATGTTTTTTAGACTTCACGTGTAAGTGATATCTTACAGTGTTGGTCTTTGTACGACTCATTTCACTTAGCATGATGCCCTCCAAGTCCATCCATGCTGTACATCCAAAACTGATAATAACATTTTAAATCAATGGTACTTTAATTTGTTTATTTATCTTTGATGGAGGTACTGGGGATTGAACCCAGGACCTCATGCTTGCTAAGCTTGTACTCTACCACTGAGCTATATCCTCCCCACAGTGGTAGTTTAATTAAAAAGGAACCAACCAACTAACCAACCAACCCATTTAAAATATGGGGAGAAGAATTGAACAGATATTTTTCCAAAAGAGGAAATGCAGATGGCCCACAGGAACATGAAAAGTTGCTCAACATCACCAGTATCAGGGATATGCCTGTTGGAAGTCACAATGAGATACCATCTCACGCCTGTGAGAATGGCCATCATCAGAAAGAACCCAAATAACAGATATTGGCAAGGATGTGGAGAAAAAGGAACCCTTGCACACTGTTGGTGGGGATGTGAATTGGTGTGTCCTAGGTAATTTGATAGGACTCACATTTAATCTGTAGATTCATTTGTGTAGTTTGGCCATTTTAACAATGTTAATTCTTGGACCTGCAGAATGTCATTCTAAATGAAGTAAGCCGGAAAGAGAAAGAAAAATACCATATGATATCACTTATATGTGAAATGTGAAAAAAAAGAAAAAAGACAGATGAACATTTTTACAAAACAGAAACAGACTCACAGACATAGAAAGCAAACTTATGGTTATCAGAGGGGGAAGGGCATGGGAAAGGATAAATTGGGAGTTTCAGATTTGCAGATACTAATATATATAAAATAGATAAACAACAAGTTTATACTGTATAGAATAGGGAACCATATTCAATATGTTGTAGTAACTTATAGTGAAAAAGAACGTGAAAATGAATATATGTATATTCCTATATGACTGAAGTGTTGTGCTGTACACCAGAAATGGGCACAACCTTGTAAATTAATTATACTTCAATAAAAATATATATTTAAAAAAATTTTTAAGACCTATGAAAGATTGCTTTGGCAATTTGGGGTCTTTTATGGTTCCATATTTAAAAAAAAACATTAATTCTTCCAATGCAAGAACATGGGATATCTTTCCATTTCTTTAAGTCAGCTTTAATTTTCTGAGTCAGTGTTTTGTTGTTCTCCATGTATAAGTCTTTCACTTCCTTGGTCAGGTTTATTCCTAAGTATTTTAGTTTTTTGTATGTAATTTTTAAAGGGATTGTTTCTTTTTCACTTTTTCTCTTTAGTGTGTGTGTGTGTGTGTGTGTATATGTATATACGTACAGTTTAAATGTGTCAGTTTCTGGTGTACAGCATAATGCTTGAGTCATACATGAACATACATTTATTTATTTTTATGTTCTTTTTCACCATGAGTTACTGTAAGATACTGAATACAGTTTCCTATGCTATACAGTATAAACTTTTTGTTCATCTATTTTCTATGCATTAGTTAGCATCTGAAAATCTCAAACTCCCCATCTATCACTTCCCACCCCCTTTTTCTCCTGATAACCATAAGTTTGCTTTCTGTGTCTGTGAGTCTGTCTTTGTATACAATTTCATGTCTTTTTTTTTTAAGATTCCACGTATAAGTGATATGATACGGTGTATTTCTTTCTCTTTCTGGCTTACTTCACTTTGAATGACAATCCCCAGCTTCATCCATGTTGCTGCAAATGGCACTGTTTCTTTTTCATCTTTTTTTCTTTCTTTCTCTTACCTGATTTTGTGTTCTTTCTTTCTCTTACTGGGTTTTGTGAGGAATCCTCCTGTATTTTGAAGTGAGACACTTCAGTAGGTGTTCAGTAGGTGTTCTGTGCAATTCAGTGGGCCTGTAGATACAATTCTTGGTGTATTTTTGGGAGACAGTGATCTGTGAGTCTCTCTACTCCACCATCTTGGCACCTCCCCCTATTTCTTTATTTTTAGAAGAGGTACTTGGGATTGAACCCAGGACCTTATTATGCATACTAAGTATGCATTCTACCACTTGAGCTATACCCTCCTCCCGAACAGCTTTTTAAATGTGTAGGTCTATCAAATTTGAGGAGATTTCAGCTATTACTGGTCTCTGCAGTACTTGGAAAAGGAAGAAGTACCACCTCCATTCGCCTTAGTGCAGGGGTGGAAATGGTCAACAGGGTTCCACCTCTCAGTTTTTGCAGGGGAGGGGTAATGGTGCCGCCTTTGGGCTAGTGCAAGGCAGAGATGGCCAATAGGACTCTACTCCCATGGTTTCTGGACTGGTAAGAGAGGGGTAAGGGTATCACCTCATTAACAGAGGATGAGAATGGTTGACAGGACCAGGCCCCACCATTTCCACATCACCCCATGTGGAGGCATGACTTCTTTAATAGTATCCTTTATGAATTGTGGACCAATTGATTTAGGGGAGAATATTTACATCATTGCCAAATTTAAATTTAGTATCATCAGCAATGGATATAAGTACTTTCCATTTTGTCCACTGATCTTGTTTTTTTCTGTTGGCAGCTATGTTCCCAAGGCAATATGTGATAATAAGAGCATAGTATGCGTGGTGTCAAGAATTCGTGAATCCAGCATTCTGGTGATGTATTCTTTGAATATGTAATACTGAAACTAATGGAATTAACCTTCCATCATCTTCCTCAATGTAGTAAAGAGTTTTGTTGGCAAACCCAGAATGATTATTTCTGCAATATGAGGATAGAGGCAATGATTCCTATCTGTAGTGAATCAGACGCTGTGACAGATACTGTAGATCGGGCACTGCGCAGAGAGAATGTGGATACTATATCCTTTGTCCCTGCCATCGGGAAGAGTATAAAATACTAAGGTAGTAAAATGTGAATGGTCACACAAATTTATAATGCCACACAATTCACCAGAAGTATATTATGGGGGAAATAGTGAATTTCGATTGAGGCTGGTTTCAAGGTGAAAGCATCTGTATCAGTCCATCAGTGTTCTTACCTATAAGCAAAGAAAAATAAATCCTGTAAAATTTAAGTAAAAAAATGTATTAGTAAAACTTGGAGGTTAATAGTTAAAGGTAGCTGGAAGAGACTCAGAATACAGATGGCAATGAAAACCGCTCAAGAGGACTAGGATAGAAAATATGTCGCAGTCTGAATCACATGAATGTTTGGATTTGCATATCACCACAGCCACTGTAATGGACATGATAAAGAATCCTTGTATCTCTAGCTCCGGGATCAGAGTTCTCGGGGAGAGCACTAAAAATTCAAACCTAAGACACACGGATCAACTCTTCTGGCTTTGTGGTGAGGGGAGGATTGGAAGAAAAATGATTGAGGGGGTAGATAGTACTGTAATGGAAATGTAATCTCAGATTCTCCAAAGAGTGGTGTGGATATCTAGATTGCTAAAGTATCTGGTCTAAACATTTAAGTCTTTAATCCATTTTGAGTTTCATTTTTGTACGTGGTGTTAGAGAATGTTCTGATTTCAGGCTGTCACAGGTAGCTATCCAGTTTTCCCAGCACCGCTTAATCACCCTGCCCCTTTCCCTGGGAGGGGGGCTCGGGCTCTGGGCCCCCTCGTGGGCCCCTCTGTGTCGTGGGCTCCATGACTGGACCAGGTTCCTGGGCCCTTGGTGGGGCCCAGCCAGGCCCAGGTCCTCCTCGGCTCCTCGCCCTTCCGCCTCTCCAGGTACTTCACCCAGGCCTCTGGTCTCCCATCTGCTCCCCTGCGCACCTCCAGTGGCCTCGTCTGTGGTTCCTGCTCATTCTGTCCACTTTCACTTCCTGTAGCTGAGGCCAGTCCTAAATATTTAGGAGTTTTTTATGTCTGTGTTTTGATGCTTTTCTCATTATGAACATTTCCTTCTTATTTCTAGTAATACTTACTGCTATGTGAATACTTTTCAGCGTCCACCGTGTAAATTCTCAGGTAGGAATTTCCGTTAAGGAGTCACCGAGGTGCAGGGAGAAGCTGGGCTTCTGCTTGAACGGGGGTGTGTGTGTCCTTCGATCAGGAAGTGACATTTTCTGCAGTTCCTTCTCTGCCTTAGAAGTCATTGTAACCCAGGTAAACACACCAGTTTCCAAATGAACATATTGTACTACTTTTAAAATTACAGTTTCTAAATATTTCGTTTTGTCCTCCACTTTAAGTTTATGCCAGTTAATCTGAGGAACATATTTTACAGCCACCACAGAGGAAAGGATTATTAATCCTCCTAAAAGTAACATTTTGGTAAGAAAGAGTATGACAGAGATTTATTTGAATTAGTTGTTTCTCTCCATTGTTTCTTTTAATTAAAAATATAGTATCACTAAAGACACATTTTAAGTGGACAGAATTATGGATTGCTCACTGAAATATGATTTTTAAAAATATCTTGGGTTTTTATTTTTAGTGAAGTCTAGTTGATTGCCAACATGTTATTTTTTAAACTTGTTTTAGAGTTAGTCATTTTTCAATGTTGTCAAATTCCAGTGTAGAGCACAATTTTTCAGTTATACATGAACATATATATTCCTTGTCACTTTTTTTTTTTGCTGTGAATTACCCCAAGATCTTGTATATATTTCCCTGTGCTATACAGTATAATCTTGTTTACCTATTCTATATATGCCTGTCAGTATCTACAAATTTTGAAATCCCATTCTGTCCCTTTTCACCCTCCACAACCTCAAGTTTATATTCTATGATATCTGAGTCTGTTTCTGTTTTGTATTTTTTATTTTTATTTATTTATTTATTTTTTAGATTCCACATGTGAGTGATCTCATGGTATTTTTCTTTCTCTTTCTGGCTGACTTCACTTAGAATGATATTCTCCAGGGACATCTTTGTTGCTGCAAATGGCATTATGTTGTCGGTTGTTATGGCGCTATAGTGTGTTTCATTATATAAATATACCACAGCTTCTTTATCCAGTCACCTGTTGATGGACATTTAGGCTGTTTCCATGTCTTGGCTATTGTAAATAGTGCTGCTACGAACATTGGGGTGCTGGTGTCATACTGAAGCAGGGCTCCTCCCGGATATAAACCCAGGAGTGGGATTCCTGGGTCATATGGTAAGCCTACTTCTAGTCTTTTGAGGAATCTCCATACTGTTTTCCACAGTGGCTGCACCAAACTGCATTCCCACTAGCATTGTAGGAGGGTTCCCTTTTCTCCACACCCTCTCCAGCATTTGTCATTTGTGGACTTTCGAATGATGGCCATTCTGACTGGTGTGGGGTGATATCTCACTGGAGTTTTGATTTTCATTTCTCTAACAATTAGTGATGTGAAGCATCTTTTCACGTGCTTATTGGCCATCTTTGGAGAGATGTCTGTTTAGGTCATCTGCCCATTGTTTGATAGTGTCAAAAAAACAAGCAACCCTAAGGTGTAAGAGCATGAAATCAGAACATTCTCTAACACCACATACAAAAAAGAAACTCAGAATGGATTAAAGACAAATGTATATAGACCAGATACTCGAAAAAGTATTGAAAGGAAAACATAGAGCACTCTGGGACATAAATCACAGCAATATTTTAATATATATATATAAATATATATATATAAAAATATATATATTTGGTTTCTCTGTTTTTGGAGGGCAGAGGAGGGCATGAAGATCATTCATTCATTATTTGCCTAGTTACTTATTTATTTACTTTTAATGGAGGTACTGGGGATTGAAACCAGGACCTCAGTGCCCGCTAACCATGCTCTCTACCCCTTGAGCTATACCGTCCCCCCCCAGCAATATATTTTTGGAACCAGCTCCTGCAGTAATGGAAATAAAAGCAAAAATAAACAAATGGGGACCTAATGAAACTGAAAAGCTTTTGCACAGCTAAGGATACCAACAACAAAACGAAAAGACAACCTACAGAATGGGAAAAAATATTTGTAAATGATGTAGTCGACAAGGGACCAATTTCCAAAGTGTACAAACAGCTCATACAACTTAGGGTTGCTTTTTTTTTTTTGATACTATCAAACAATGCGCAGATGACCTAAACAGACATCTCTCCAAAGATGGCCAATAAGTACATGAAAAGATGCTTCACATCACTAATTGTTAGAGAAATGCAAATCAAAACTCCAGTGAGTTATCACCTCACACCAGCCAGAATGGCCATTATTCGAAAGTCTACAAATGACACATGCTGGAGAGGCTGAGCAGAAAAGGGAACCCTCCCTCCTACACTGCTGGTGGGAATGTAGTGTGGTGCAGCCGTTATGGAAAACAGTATGGAGATTCCTCAAAAAACAAAAAATAGACTTACCATATCATCCAGCAATCCCACTCCTGGGCACATATCCAGAGGGAACCAACCTTAATTCAAAAAGACACCAGCACCCCAATGTGCACAGCAGCACTATTTAGCCAAGACATGGAAACGACCTAATGTCCATCGACAGATGACTGGATAAAGAAGCTGTGTTATATACATATAACTCGGCCATAAAAAAGAAAGAAATAATGCCATGTTGACAACAAAGATTGACCTGTAGATGGTGAGTGTAAGTGAAGTAAGCTAGAAAGAGAAAGAACAATGCCATGTGATGTCACCTATATATGAAATTAAATCAAAAACACAAACTTTTCTACAAAACAGCAACATATGTAGAGAACAAACATATGGTTACCATGGGGGAAAAGGTCTGGGAAGGGATAAATTGGGAATTCAAAAATTGCACCTCATTACATTTATGGAAATTTTAGCTATCTTGATTGTTAGATGTTTACACCAGTGAAACCACTATCAAAATTTATCAAATTGAGTATTTCAAATATGTGCAGTCTACTGTACAGGAACCATACCACAATAAACATATTTATAAAGTGGACAAGGACTTGAAAAGACATTTCTCCAAAAGATGATGTACAATTGGAAAATAAAGATATACAACTGGCCAATAAGCACCCAAAAAACACAACATCAATGAACATTTGGGAAATACAAATTAAAAATATGAGATACCATCTCACACTCATTAGGATTGCTACTGTCAAAAAACCAGAAAATGACAAGTGTCAAGTGTGGAGAGTAAAGAATTGCTGTGTACTGTTAGTGGGAATATAAAATGGTACATCTGCTATGAACAACAGTATGGCGGCTCCTGAAAAAATTAAAAATAAAATTACCATATGAGCCAGTAATTCCACTTCCGGGTACATACCCCCAAAATGTAAAAACAGTCTTGAAGAGAGATTTGCACATCTATGTTCATAGCAGTGTTATTCACAATAGCTAAAACATGGGAGCAGTCCAAGTGTACATCAGCAAATGAACGGGTAAGCAAAATGTGTCTATACGTACAATGGAATATTTACCCTTAAAGAGGAGGGAAATTCTGACGTATGCCACAACATGGATGAACTCTGAAGACCTTATGCTGAGTGAAATCAGCTAGTCACAAAGACAAATACTGTCTGATTTCTCTTACATGCGGTTCTTAGAGCAGTCAAAATCAGAGACAGAAAATAGGATGGTGGTTTCTAGGGGCTGCAGGGAAAGGAAAATGGGGAATCATTTAATGGGTAGAGTTCAGTTTTACTAGATGAAGAGTTGCAGAGATGGACGGTGTTGATGGTTGTACAATGTTATGAGTGCATTTAATGCCACTGAACTGTACACTTAAAATGGTTAAGATGGTAACTCTATGTGTATTTTGCCACAATAAAAAGGTTTTGGGAAAAAAAATAGAAACCAAAAAAAAAAATGGCAGGGTTGTGCAGTAGGAGGTGAATTTCCATATGAGAGTCTTGGGTTCTAGTCCTACCTGCTGTGTGATCTCAGGCACATCCCTCCTTCCATGGATTCAACTTCCTCCCAGGAAGACACTGTCACCGCCCTCCCCAGCCCCACCCAACCAGGGCAAGACCTTTCACTTGTGGGGGTAAAAGTAGGGGGTTGGCAAGAGAGCACAGCCAGGGCCTTGCCCTCACTTGGAGCCTGATTCTCACTCTGCAGTGGGGAGAACCCAGCAACCCTTGACTGTGAGGGGAGGAGGCAAGACACCTTTCTCAGGATGCAGTGGCCAAGGGACCCACAGGTGGCAGGGCACAACTGCCATCCCCTTGGCTTCACACCGAGTCAGAGTGAAGAGGCTCTTGTGACAGAGGGCCTCCCGGTGCAGGGCACCATGGGCACGAAGGCCCAGAGGGCGCCTGGGACTGCTGGCTCCCAGTCTGCACTCCCTCCATGGCTAGAGCGGCCAGGGCGAGCTGTGGGCTCTCTCTCCTTCCTGTCCTCCAGAGAGGACTTGGGTGGCCGCCCAGCTCACCCTGCACTGGGTCAGGCCTGGCCCAGGGGACAGGCTCTCGTAGTCCTGAGATGGAAGGGGCCTACCTTCTCTGATGATGAGTGTTCACAAGACGCTCCCTCTGGAAATGTGTTAAGGACTCGTATCTTATAGAAGAGCAACTGGAGGCTCAGGAGACTGTCCCAAGGTGGCCAGGGCCAGCCCAGTGCTCAAGCTCCAGGTCCATAGGCTTTCCACTGGGGCATCTTTTCCTTGAGGTAAGAGCTGCCGGCCCCCAGTGTTCCATACACACACACACGGCAAACACACAGACGCTTACACACAAAGGTGAATACACAAACACAAATACAGTGAGCTGTGCTGCCTTGGCTCCAGGTCAGCAAGCTGAGCTGGGAGCAGGGGCGAGGGGCCCTCTCTGGTTGGGAGTTGGGAGTGCCAGCACACACCAGTGGGGGTGACGCTGGCCTCCCGCATCTCTGGAGGTGGGGCTGTGCCCTGCCCACGCTGAATGCGCCTGCCCTGAGAGGAAGCCGTAGACACAGAACACGGCCTCCACAGCCTGCAGCTGGGCGTTCTTCCTGGGGCCCTATTTGCACCCCCAACATCCCAGCCAGCTGGGAAAGTAAGGAGGCCCCCTGCACCCTAAGGAGTGGTGGTTTCTGAGGTCTACGTAGACTGACGCACCTCCCAAGGAGCCCCAGGCCAGAGGTGTGGTGGGAAATACCTGGGAACTGAGTCCTGCTCTGGCAGCAGCCCCGCGGCCCTGAATGACCAAGCACCTGCTCCGTGCCTCCAAAGAAGTGAGTGGCTGTGCTGGATGCATTGTTTGGCCCCCAGGTCCCTCCCACCGGCTTTTTACCTGCTCTGCTCTGGGAGCTGCTCTCTCCAGTCTGCCCCCACCAGGGTCCCCTGTCCCCTAGCTTTCAGGTGGCTTAGCTAACAGGAGGAGCTGACAGGAGACTGGGAGGGGGGAGGAGAAAGAGGCCAGCAAAATTATTTCACCAGCATCCGCCCAACCTGACGGGGGCTTCCTTCCTGCTCCTAAGGCCTCAGCTCCTGGGGGACAGCCCCTCCCTCAGCCACAGCTCCCACTAGTGCCAACAACTGCTGCCCCTGCCCCCTCAGGCCCAGGGTTGCTAACAGCTGTAGTTCACCACTCTTGTTGGCTTCCCTGATGCCCATAGCTCTGGAAGCAGGCCTTTCATTAAACGCTCTTCTGTTACCTCTTTTCTGGTATATGCCCTCAGTTTCCAGCCAGGAACTGGACTGATTGAACATCTGACAAACATTTCCTCATTAAATCCTGCCAGTTGCCAGCTTGGGGTCTAATCCTATGACAGAGGGCGGCTCTTGCTACATTGCCAGAACATCTGTCTCTGCCCAGAGGCCCAGGTGGTCAGGGAAGAACCAGAAACTAGAATCCAGGTCTCCTGCCTCCCAGAGCCAGCCTCTGAGCCTGAGATCTGGGGGAAGACAGACAAGCCTGGGAGTGAAGATTTCCGAGTCAGAGAGGCAGGGACCCTCTCTTCTGGGTGGCACCCAATCCCTTTGCTTGGAGGGGGCCCTGTCAGGGCGTCGGGCCCCAGCCTCCTGCAGCACCAGTGAGCACACAACTCCTGGGTGCCTGCAACAGACTGTGGGGTCACCTCTGCCATCTTAGAGGTGACAAAGGCTTCTGTAGTCACTAGTTTCTGGGTCATTTTACTCCCACCTTTGCCCATCCAGTACTGTTGTCATCAGTCCCTCATACCTAAGCTTCTGTTTAACCCAAGCTACAGTGGTTTGTTTCCCTGACTAGTCACTCACTGTTACACTCCCTCAACTATCTCCTTACACATCTCTCACATCTAAAACCAGAATTCAGTTAAAGGCAAGGTGAGATTACCAATGAAGCCCTAGCACTACTGATTTCCAAACCACTTTTCATTTTCTCAAGGGCTCCAGACACAGAAACCCCCTTAGCTCCTTCTGGTAAGTTCCACGCTGTGGCCAGAAGATGGCAGTGCACCGCCAGCCCAACTCACCTGCAGGAGGGTGGCCGACGGTGAGCTTCACTCTCCTAGATGTGCAGACGTTGCTCTTTAGGGCCGCTCGGACAGCCCACAGGTCACTCTTGTTTCAAGTACACATAGCAGCCAGATGATCCAAAAACTTACAATTAAAACCCCAAAATTGCAATCACAGAGTAAATCCCTTTCAAAGACCATGATGATATCCTTGTCTTAGATTTCTGGTAAACATTTGGAATTGGATAAACCACCATTCTTAATTAGGACAGAACATTTTAAAAACATCACCAGTCACCTAAACCAGATAGCTTGGGGTCTTGATTTTGTTCTTGAATGTGTTAGCCTGAGGAGAGCCTAGTAGTCACTGGTGCCCAACAGAGAGGTCTGGGGCAACCAGGCCAACCATGTGGCCTGCAGCACAACAAAGACCGTATGTGGGCACTGGCCCGTAGGATCCAGAGTACTTCTGCCTGTTCCCAGGGTTTCAAGTGGCTTTGAAGATGATGCCAACGTTTATCAGCACAAATTCAGCTGTTTCATCAATTAGCACATGATTCTTTCGATACCAAAAAATTAATAAAAATAAAGGACTCCTCAAAACAATCTCAAGAATGAAGAACAGAGCTGGCGCAATCACACCCTCTGGCTTCAGACCATACTACAAAGCTATAGTAATCAAAACAGTATGGTACCAGCACAAAAACAGACACATAAATCAATGGAACAGGATAGAAAGCCCGGAAATAAATCCACACACTTATGGTCAATTAATCTTCAACAAAGGAGGCAAGAATATACAATGGAGAAAAGACAGTTTCTTCAATAAGTGATGCTAGGCAAACTGGACAGCCACAGGTAAAAGTATGAAATTAGAACACTCTCTAACATCATATGCAAAAATAAACTCAAATGGATTAAAGACCTAAATGTAAGACTGGCTACTATAAAACTCCTAGAGAAAAACACAGGCAGAACACTGTTTGACATAAATTGCAGTGATTTTTTTTTTGGATCCATCTCCCAGAGTAATGGAAATATAAGCAAAAATAAATGAACAGGACCTAATTAAATTTAAAAGCTTTTGCATAGCATAGCTTTTGCATAGTAAAGGAAACTAAACAAAAAGAAAAGACAATCTATGGAATAAGAGAAAATATTTGCAAACGGTGTGACTGACAAAGCCTTAATTTCCAAAATATACAAACAGCTCATACAGCTCAATATCAAAAGACAGAGAACCCAATCAAAAAATGGGCAGAACACCTAAATAGACAATTCTCCCAAGAAGACATATAGATGGCCAACAGACACATGAAAAGATGCTCGATATTGCTATATTAGAGAAATACAAATCAAAACTACAATGAGGTATCACCCACATGGGTCAGAATGGCCATCATCAAGTCTACAAAAAAATAAATGCTAGAGAGGGTGTGGAGAAAAGGGAACCCTCCTATACTGTAAACTGGTGCAGTTACTATGGAGAACAGTATGGAGACTCCTAAAAACTAAAAACAAGAGTTACCATATGATCCAGCAATCCCACTCCTAGATATATACCCAGATAAGACAAAACACTAATTCGAAGATACATGCATCACAATGTTCATAGCAGCACTCTTTACCACAGCCAAGACATGGAAGCAACCTAAGTGTCCACCGACGACAGATGAATGGATTAAAAAAAAGATGTGATACACACACAGAGGCACACACGTGATGGAGTATTACTCAACCGTAAAAAAGAATGACATGCCATTTGCAGCAACATGGATAGACCTAGAGATTATCATACCAAGTGAATTAAGTCAGAGAAAGACAAATATGGTATCACTTATATGTGGAATCTTAAAAGATGACACAAATGACCTTTTTACAAAACAGAAAAAAGACATAGGAAATAAACTAATGGTTAAACAAAAGGAAAAGGGCAGGGGGGAGGGATAAATTAGGAATTTGGGATTGACTACACACTATGTAGGTACACACTACTATGTGTAAAATAAACAAGGGCCATCTGTACAGCACAGAGAGCTATATTCAGTATCTTATAATAACCTATGATGGAAAAAATCTGAAAAAGGATTTATATATATATATATAAAACAAATGAATCAATTTGCTGTCACCTGAAACATTGTAAATCAGCTATACTTCAATTTAATAAAAACAAAAACCAGGATTCCTGAGCCTTCTAACTGGACAATTACTCCAATATTTAAGTTGGTGAAAGTTCTTTTAATAAAGCCAATCAGTCCCTAAACTCCTTTAAGGTGACCCCAGTGATGAGAAATGAAGGTCCTTCGCATGCTAACATGTTTGTGGGAAACATAGTAGTGAGGACACTTTTGCGATCTTCATCAGAAAAAAATTATTCAGAAAGAGATCAGTTAACCTGAATACCAAGTGTCCTACCCTGAAATTGTGGCCAGGACCCAAGTGGAATCCTAAAACTGTCAGTGCTGGAAACAACTCTCAGCTGCAGTGTTTGGGCAGAGACTCAGAAGTTCCTCTTATCACATAGGTTTGTATTCTTTCTATCTTTTATTACACGAGGGCTGAGATGTGAAAGTCAGTGACTCAGAACATGTTCATTACTCACGCCTCCCAGGCATGCAGGTACTTGGTTTTCCTCCCCCCGGAGCCCTCACCTGCCCTGCTGTAGGCCTCCGAGAACCCGCAGGGGCCTGGGCCCTGAACAGAGACAAGAGCCTGTCGTGGCCCCTGTGGTATTAAGCAGGCTCCCACCCTCTTATGTGCCTGCTTGAAGTCCACCCCACACTGAACTCCCCATCAGCCTGCTCCCCGAGACTGTCACAAAGGGGAATCATCTCCATGGTTTGGCCAGAGCAGCCAGTGAGGGAGTCAGACCCATTCTGAGCCACTATAAAGAACTGGCTAGAGCACTCATTCCAAACACTAAAGCTTACCTGCTCCCGAATGGCAGCGCCTGCCTGCTGACCTGTCTCCGACTGTGGTCCCACCATCAGGCAGAAATGAGGGAGGGGGACATGAGAGCAGAGAAGAGCAGCTATGACTACACTGGGCAGACAGACCAGGGTGGCTTCTGCTGTCTTAGGGACAAGGACTTCTGGATGGCTTTATTTAGGGTCAATAAGGAAGGGAAGATGACGACTCCCGGAATCAGATCAGCCTGTCTCTTCAAACCCCCAATGAAGACCCTGAGTTGGGGGTGGAGCCTGCGTGTCAGAGGGGAGGAAAGGCAGGGGGAGGGGCTCTGGGCAATGGGGAGGGAGCAGAGAGCCATGGGGGAGAGCCTTGTGAGGACCTGAGGGCTGGAGGGCCCTGGGCTCACTTTTTCAGCAGGTGGGCCTTCTGCTAAGGCCAACGATGGTCTCAGAGGGCATCAACCCCCAGCCCTACAGACCCAGCCAGCAACACCAGATCCAGCTGCAACAGTCTTGAAGGTCACCTCCAGCTACAAATCAGGAAAACCATGCAAGGTGGCCTTCACACTGGCAGACAGTTGGGTTAGGAGCCTGCGCCCACGATGTCTTGACTTAGAAGACAACCCAGTAACCAGGAGCCCCTCAGAACATCGTAGGTTATAAGGGACTGGGGAGTCGAGAAACAGGACCCTGCAGAAAGGCCCCCAAGATCCCCTCTGCCTGGAGGTCACGACAGTGACGCCATCCTTGCCCAGTTCCTTTCAAAACCAATGCAACACGAACAGAGCAATTCAGACACACAAACTGCAGAGAAGGCAGGCCTGCTTGAAGGGACAGCAGAGCCCTCCACCTCAGGTGGCAGGGCCCCCAACCCCATCCAGCTTTGACCCCAGCAAGCCCTGCCCAGGAGCCAAGGAGAGCCCAGCCAGCCCCGCGGTCTGGAACATTCTGTGGGGGCCTCCCGGAGGGTGCAGCTCCCACCTCCTTCTGTGCCTGCCAGGCACAGCTGCTACCTTCCACCTAAGGCAGGGCTGGGCCGAGCCCACATCTCAGACGCCAGACAGTGTGTTATCCTTTAATGAAGAGCCAGGTCACTGGGGCCACCACTCTCCCCAAGACCCCCCTGCAGCACACGCCCCTCACCACTGGCTGCCTCGGAGGCAAGCTGGCCCTGAGGCAGCCAGCCCTGCTGCGGGGTCCGTCTGCAGCAGCCCAGGAAAGGCATTCATCTCTCGGACCTAGGAACGTGGCAGCAGCAACAAGGCCAGAGGCGGCAGAACTGAGGTCAGGGATGATGGAGGAGGAAGGCGGGACAGACGTGGGGGCTCTCCTCCTTCCTCTCTGGATCCCGCTGAGATAAAGGCCAGTGTTCAGGAACGGTAGTCTCCCCTGGGGCTGGAAGCCCTTAGTCCCCAACTCCCCGCAGACTGACGTCACACAGAGAACGGCCCACAGGGTCACTGGGCTCAGGGAGCGGGCTGAGCACCGCCCCATCCACCTCAAGGCCCTAGGCTGCGAGGGGCGTCCAGCAGGGCCCAGGCCAGAGCCACCAAGAGACTGGGAGCCACCTTCCACTAAGTCTGCTGGGCAGGCACTACAGGTATCTAAGAAGGTGGTCTCTCCCTCATGGTTCCGGGGCTGCCCAGCGGGGGCTGAGGCGACATCAGGCCAGGGCTCGCAAGTCCCTAGAGATCCGTGACCTTATTCTCCACAGCCGCTGCGATCTGCTGGAGCCGATAGCCCAGCTGCATCTTCTGGGCCGTGCCGTCCTCCTCCAGGGCAGTGATGATCTGAAACGCAGAGACCAGCTCGTCGTGGGGAGACCGCCAGCCTCTCGCCTGCTTTTGCCGCAGACTTCCATAGGCCTCCCCTGGCACCGCAGCCAACTGGGGGTAGGAGACCCCAAAACCCCTTGAGCCACCTCATGTCCCCAGGGCCCCCCGGTGGGAGGTGACAATGGCAGCAGAGTGACTGCAGGGTTTAAAGGATCAGTGCGGTGGGGAATGAAGTACTTTACTCAGAACCCAGCACTGGGTAACGAGTGTCACCTCCGCTGATAAAACTGTTTTCGGTGGAGGCCAACCTCACCCACCATGCTGGTCTTCTCCTCACGAACCCTCTAGAAGCCCTACTCCACCCAGCCTGGCTCCCCTGCCCACCAGACAAGAAGCAAGTCCTGAATTCCTACATGCCAAGTGCCAAGCAAGAAGCAGGGACTCAGCAGCCCGCCCTCGGGGGCTCACTGGAGGGAAGACGGGCATGGAGGAAACACGGACAACAGAGGGGCTTGCCACAGGGAAGGGCGGGAACAGAGGGGCTCGCTGGCCACGGGGACAGGTATGTCACCCAGCTCTGCCTCCCACACCAGGGCCCACGCTGCTCAGAGCAAGGCCACAGTGCCTGGACTTTACTTTTGGGCATCACTCCGTCACAAGACTGTCCCCACTCCAGGCATGGACCTCGTGGCAGGCCCCTCACCTCTGAATGGCAAGAGCCACCACATCCCTCGGGCCACACAAATGTCTGGGCAGACGATTCCAGCAGGCACTCAGTGTGCTGACTGGTGGGTGCTCTGATGCTGAGGCCAAGCCCAGAAAGCCCCCTTCACCAGCTCCGTTGTACCCTCGCCTGCCTGAGCCTCTATGCCTGGACCGTCCTCTCTGGCAGCCCATGCAGCCCAGCCAGGCCCACACCCACAGAGGTGGCCATGCACAACACACTGCCACATGCGGACCCAGGTAGAGATCTGAGCAGTGCAAGGTCAGGGCAGAGTAGCAGCCGTGTGCCTGTCCCAGAGCATCCTGCACACCATCTCCAGGCCCTGGTAGATCCCCAGCCCTGCACCACCACCACCACACCCGGGAGCCCTGCTGAGCCAGGATGGGGAAGGCCGTAGCAGGCAAGAGCCCAGCCAATACCAGGAAGTGCACCTCAAAAGCCAACACTTCCAGAGCCCAGGGCCCAGCACCACCCCCACTCTGTGCTTGGGGGAAACCCCAAGGCCCCACACTCGAGTCACAGAGCCAGACACGCTCTCACGTCGTCATGACCACCCCAGGTTCTGCCCACCTGATCATAGTATTTGTTGATATATTTGTAGAGCTCATGCAGGGCCACTCGGGCCCCGAGGTCTCCGGAGTAGTTCTAGGGAGGAGAAGAGACAAGAGTTGAGATAAAAAAGGGGTGCTGCCTGCCACCTGAGGTGGCCCAGGACCCCAGAGAAAGGGATGCGGGAGAAAGAGGGCTGGGTAGTCGAGGAAGGAACAAGGAGGGCCCTGCAGCGGGAAACAGAGCCCCTCCACAGACCAGGGATCCCAGGCCAGGTGTGCTCTCCTGGGACAGGACAGAGCCAAAGGGCCCCCTTTTGTGCACACACCCTGGGTCTGCAGGTTCACCAGGGTCTGGGGTCTCAACTGGGGCCCTGCTTCTCTCACTCTGGAGGCCCCAGCTGCTTCTCAGAAGCTGTGAGCCAGCATAATCCTGTTCTGATCTCACTCAAGTCTTCCCTGAGGTCATATCCAGGCCCCTCCATGGGGACATCTCTGAGCCTCTTCATCAGGACAATGGAATTGGTATCACCTAACTTGTGGCGCTCTTACAGGAATCAAATGAGAAGATAATCAAAGCACGCACACAGAGCAACAGCCCCAAGTTGTAGCTGCTACTGTTGTGATCATCATGGTTTCAGAAACATCGTTTATAAATTCGCAGAGCGTATATCTGGAGGCTGTTTTAGGAGTAGGTGGGGGCATGTCTACATCGCCAAGGAAAGCAGTAGGAAGACATTGACAGACCAACCCAGGCAGTCCTGCGGCTGAATCCCAGCCACCTCGCTGCCTTGGAACTACCGTACACAGACCCCAGAGGGCTGCAGACACCCAAGCCCCTGGCTGAGACAGGTTAGGGAGCAGCCGCCAGGGCAATACCCCTGCTGCTCTGTGATGCGACGGGAGCCCTGGTCTTTACAGAGGCAGTTGCAACACTCTGCTGAGATTCCAAGGGCTTCCCTGCAAAGGAGCACTGTGAAGGGGGCAGGACGCTTGTGGCTGGAAGCCTGTGCCCAACCCAAGCAGCAGAAAGAGGGCCGTACCCGGGACAGCTCGGCCAGGATGGAGTTCATCTCTTGATCACTGGCGGGGACGGTCTGCCTGATGTCTGCGTAGTACCTGCCAGAGATCACGGGTCCGGCAGCCGCGAGGCAAACCAACCCCCTCCTCACCCAACCAGGCCCATGCCTGGGCCCCAGCTGTAAACACCCCCAACTCAGCCACTTGCTCCCCGCCAGACCCAATCCCATTCCCTCGTACCTTTCCACCATCCGTTTGTAACGGGGAATATCTCGAGCGTACAGAAGTTTGTTGATGGGGGAGTCCTGGTGCCAGCAGCGAACAGTGAAAGAGAAAGGATGAGAGCCCGTTAGGGTGACCAGCTGACCCAATTTTCCCAGCACTGTTTTGGTCTAAAACTAAAGTCCCAAATCACATGAACCACCCCCCTTGCTCCCCGGCAACCAGGATGGGTTGGTCACCCCAGCCCATTCCTTCTGCTAAGACCGCCTCCATCCCCATCCCTCCGCCAATGTCCAGTCTCTGCTGTTGGCACCTTGAGCCTCCCCCCACCTCATTCCAAGGTCATCTCAGCTCCACGAGCCTCCACCTAGACACAGCAGGGACCTGGCAGGCAGGACGGGAAGGGTACAGTGCCGTGTGGAGCCCTAATACTGCTTCTCCATGTGCTGTTCATTCCCCCATGTCATCATTTTAAAAATTAGGAAACTAGCCCCCAGATTTAGTTACATTGCTCCAGAACACCTCACTCCTGCGTGGCTGAACTGGGATTTAAAGCAGTCTCTCAGACCAGGGCCCACAGTCTAACACACCCAGACACATCCTCTACCACCAAACTGGGCTCCAATCCTAGCTCAGCCCCAACAGCTGTGGGCAGTACATTTACGTTGTCTGGACCTACAGCCTCATCCTATAGCTGCTGGGAGGGTGAGGCAAGGGCGCGCCACTCCCAGTGAGCAGAACCTGATGCAAGATGCCTGCTTCTTCCCAACTCTCCATGGGCAGCCCTTGGCATCCTGGTTTGCACTATTCCTGAGCTACCCAGGAAGCATCTGAAGTGTTGCCGAAAAGGGGAGGTAGCGTGAAGATCAGGCAAAGAACCCAGACACCACACAGCACACCCCCTGGAGGTGTCCCCTGGCTCTAGGTGTGCCCTGTGGCTCTCAGCTCATTGTAGGCAGAGTAACGAGAGCACACAGAGCAAGAATGGCTCCCAAAAGACAGCACTGTAGAGTAGAACTTTCCATCTTACTTCTTCATAGGATATAGAGGTGGATCTCTCAAGAGGTCCCAGGCCAACTGTGGCCCAGGGGACTGGGCTAAGCAGTCCATTCATGGACCTGCGGAGCCACGGGGCCCTGCCGCTAGGTGCCTGAGCAGTTGCAGTGACCCCGTATCTGTCACAGGACTCTCTAGGTTCTGACTGCTGTGACAACACGCCCCCACCCTCCGAGCTATCAGGTGGCCCCAACCACTTCTCCTTGTGCTTCCCAGCTCCCATGTCGGCACATCCCTCCACACCTGGCCCTCCCTGGACTGCACTGGCAGGCAGACACCTCCACTGCCCTCAGGAATCAAATCCCCCAGGCAGCCTGGGGCTGCTCTGTGATGTAGAACCCATGTCTCCACCAAGAAACCAGCTGGTAACCCAGCAACACCTCGGGCTCACCTCCTCCAAGTCTGAGCTCACCACAGCCAGAGGCCTGGGGAATCACAGGTAACTGCTCCCTGTCCCCCTCACCCCATGTCGCACCCACAGCTTCTGCCCACCCTGTACCCTCTTGTCCCAGCCTGAACTTGGCCACCGCTCGTCCCAGGGACAGCACAGGCTTCCTCTCTGGACTCCAGGCTCCAATCCATCCACTGCATGCTTGCCAGGAGGCTCCACCTAACTCTCAGGTCTGACCACCTCCACCCGGTCCCCAGGCCCTCAGTGGCTCCCTATGGCCCTCGGGGTGAGCCCTGGCCTCCTGCTACACCAGCTAGCACTCTTCGCCCCAGCCACTGCAGGCTGCACTTGTTGCCCTGTCTTAACACTGTGGATCAGCACACGTGCCCTCTGCTCTTGCTCATCCCTGAAGACTAAGGCACGGCCACCTCCTAGGGAGCCCAGGGACAAAGCCTAGCCTGGGGCCTGGCATCAGAGGCCTCCCATATCCTCTTCCTTGACATTCTCAGGGGCGCCTGGACTCTGTGCACACACACAGCACCGTCCATCCCCAGCCTCACTGCCCCATCCCACCCATCCCCTCCGGGTCCATCCTGACTGGCTCACCCGGCCCAGCTTGTGGTCAGCCAGGGTGCAAGCGTCCATGAAGGTCTGTGCAATGACCAGGAGCACTGCATCCATGTTATCCGATGTCTGAACGTCAAACACAAACTGCGGGTTTTTGATTATATTGATCCAGAACCTCAGCGGCAAGCTGCAGGGGGACAGGCGTGGTCGATGAGTGTGCTGTGGGAGCAGGAGGAGACCCTGCACGTATTGGCCCCCCCACCCCACCCCCCACCCCCACCTGTTGGTCTTCCAGATGTGGACGGTGTCCTGGTCAGAGATGCCGTGCTGCTGCGCCTGGTCGTCCAGCAGGTCAAAGAAGTACTTCACTGCGAGTGGCACGGGACGGCTGGTGCTGAGAATCACCTGGAACAGGTCATCCACAAACTTCTGCAGGGTGCCCTGCGGAGGAAGGGAAGAACCAGAGGTGCGGTCAGCGAGGGGGCCTCAGCCAGCCCCACCTCGGATGCCTCGTGACACCAGGCCTATGCGAGCCCCATACCCTCCCCAAATCCCATTGCCTGTCCCGTCCCTGCCCCACCTTCATGGACAGCAGGCGGGTCAGGTAGATCTCCAGGGATGGCCTTGGCTCGTTCGCGCTCCCCGCCCCGAAGGCTGCCCCTCCGAGGCCTAGGTGGCTCCGGCTCCTCGCTTGGC